ACCATAACTGACCTTGTTGAGCACCACGGGCACCACGACCACGGCCAAAGCGACCACCACGACCCCCACGACCTCTGGACTGACCACGGCTAGAGAAAGAGAAACCAGGATGGGTGATGGCATTTCGTTGAGTAGAGTTGGTTGTAGCAGAGTTAGCCAGAGAGGTAGGCTCAGAGATCTGCAACTTTTGGAAAGCTTTAATACTCTCGTGACTAAGGAGAAGACCTTGAAGATCCGTAAACGAGATTGGTTCAGAACGGCCAAGTAATGTAGGAACAATGTCTTGGAGATCAAATCGGAGACCACGGAAGATGTAGACATTGAAATCCTCCGGTTCAAGAGGCTTGCCTGCAGCACCCATCTCATCGGCAATGGATTTAGCACGCTGGAGGAAATCAATAACTGATTCGTCCTGTTTTTGTTGTAGACGTTGGAGACTAAGATGAAGAGAGAGCATACGCGTAGCGGAAGCTGAGCCAAAAGAGGCATTGAGAGCTTCCCAAATGGCTTTACTGGTTGATTTATCAATAATGATAGGTAAAATTGATTCTGAGAGGGACGCAATTAGAAGACTCATGATGGAAGCGTCTTGTTGTTGCCAGAGAGCTGCTTCAGCCGCATCAGAGGGACACGATTTGGTTCCATCGACATGACCATAAAGGTTTTGTCCCATGAGAAATGGGATAATCTGTGCTTTCCATAGCAAGTAATTGGATGCCGTGAGACGTAGGGAAAGAAAGTGATGAGCAGATCCGAATGGAGGAAGTGTAGAAGATGGGTTTGTAATAGCAGTTATGGTGGTGGTGGTGGGGGGATTCTCTAGGGCCATATTGACCACCAAAAAAAAAAAGAAGATGAAGAAGATGATGATGAGGAAGAAGAAGAAAGCTAGGGTTGAAAAGAGGCGTTAGCCCTAGATGGCTCTGATACCATGTTGAAACAGAAATCGTTGTATATTTCCATTAAGCTTAGTTGGGGTATATAAATACCCAAGAGTACATTCTAGAAGATTTACTAGCAAGAAAGAAATAAATAAAATACAAAAACTTTCTAATTTCTAAAGATAAGATTCTAAATATTCTAAAATTGATTACCTTATATTTGGTAGATATATATTTGGTTGATAGAAGGAACTTATGTGGAGGGTTCTTCAAGGCAGTGTCAACACCTATAGGTCCCTTCGTTGCAGGTGGCAACGGCAGCAACGGTCGGATCTTAAGTTAGGTACTAAGATTAGGATTATGTGAATTAGAATTGTGTGTTGGTGGGTGTGATGAGGAAATGAAGGGGGTAATTCTTTCAAATGAAAAAGACAACATCGAAAAATAGATTAGCAATTCTGTTTAAATGAGGATGGAAACTTGTTTGTTCAAGCACAGTGGATGCATAGTAGTAATCTTGTGAGAATCATGTATCATGGCTTTGCCATTTTTCCTTTATCCAATGAAGAAAGAGGCCGCGCTATTTCCACTCCAGTTTTGGCCTTGACACTCCCAAAGATAGTGTTTTTACCATTTTGCTCTTTTGTCTTGCATGCTGTAGTCCAAGTTTCCTCCTTTTCTTTTCTTGCGGATCCCACGTTCTTCTTCCTCTCCTCTTTTGTAGAATCTTGGACAACGAAACTCAAGCTCCCACCTGCATTCACCTTCATTTTCTCCTTCTTCTCCTCTTCATACTCGGGATCATCCGTCGGCAACTCAAACCAACAAACCGGACAAGTTTTCCTCGCACCCAACCACTTCACGTTGCGATCCCCATGGTAAGCATGCCCACATGGCAAATTTCTTCGCCATCTCACCGACACTCACCATGTCCTTACACATCGCATACACCAAGGTTTTGTCCTTTGATCTGATCTCCACAGTTGGAAGCTCCAGAACCGCTGATTTCGTGGTCGGCGGAGCTCCCCTTCTTCCACCGTCGCTCTCTGCCAAACTCTGAAGCAATGCCTAGTACCAACATTATCTGCGCAATCATCATCATTGTCTTCATACTCGTCCTCATCACATGCAGAGGGACGCCCTCATCACATGCCGCCACTGCGATCAATTGGTGATTCGGGCTGTTGGTGCCTAAGCTCATTGAGCGCTTCGGGTAACTTGCAGAGTTGATTTCCACGTAGCTGGCGGTGGGTGGAAAAGAAGTTTGCCGGTCGTTGAGGCGTTGTAGGAGCGGTTGAGGAGCTAGAGTTTCCTTGGCCGTTATGGTCCAACATATTGCAGACAAGAAAAGGAAGAAAAAGGAGGAACGTGGAACCCGCAAGAAAAGAAAAGGAATAAATAAACAAAAAGAGAGGACAATTTGACCAAAGCATGCAAGATAAAGGGGGGTAAAATGGTAAAAATACTGTTTTTGGGAGTGTCAAAGCCAAAATTGGGATGGAAATAGCGCTGCCCTAAAGAAAATACAATGTATGGTTAGAGAAACAGCATGGACGTTTCTTAATGAAGTTGTGACGCGGATTCCAATCATGGTATCTCCCACTAAAATATTTTAGGGGGTCAATCACTTTTCTATGTGTGAAATCTTTCTCGACTCACATGAATGAATCGACTTACACATATCTATGGAGATTAATTGAATCAAAAGGTTTAAATACCACGTGAGGCAATTAAAAAGTTTATAGCTAAACTTAAAGTGTAAATTGTAGGTCTTGAGGAGGAGGTGCAAAGTGTCATTTGAACAAAAATAAAAGGTTGGTTATTTTGTGTTTTCAGTAAAACTAATAATAATGTGCAAATTAGAGAGAAAAAGCGATGGCAAGTGGTTATGGGATGAATGGAGAGAGGTGATGAAATTTGGGAGAAGGGTGGTGATATATAGCTATCCATGCTTTATTAAAGGCATAGCTATGATTTTAGGGTCTGTCATGATTTTATGGCTATAATTGACAAGGGGCGGTAGCCATCGGTTTCATTAATCAGCGCAAGTTAAGAAGGCACACACATTGTTCCCAAAAGCTAAAATCTTTTTGGATGAGAGAGACTTCTCGCATATAAGGCCTCGATATTTGTAGACCCCATAAACAAGCAATATACTTCAACATCTCCTCGCACGTACAAATTGGGTCAATAATAACATGTGAAACCTGATAAACGGGGAGCCACAAACATGGAATCATCGGGGGTGACACCTAGCTCTTTTTCCAAGTTCGAAATGCCCGACCCAATTTATACTATTAGGTAGAGGAAGATCACTTGTCCAAAAACTCAATTAAACCCTAGTTAAACGACATGGGATCATATCTAACAAATAAGATTCATTTTGGTGTTTATGCTCGTTTTGTTAGTTTCAATTATGTTTATGCGGAATCATCTTATGCAACAATTTGAATCTATCCGCTTGATTATATTGTATTGCAATTTCAAGTGTAAGATAAATAGAAAAAGTATAGTGTCTTACATGATCCATGAGATTAGAGAGATATTTCATGTGTCTAGAATTCACCTACCTAAAGTGGATTTCCTTATATAAGAAGAAATAGAGGAAATATTAACAAAAATGTGAAGCGAAACATATAGTAAATGGCTATGCATTATGGCAAGCACAAACTTAGGTGTATCATCAACCTTCAACTTCTCACTCACATCATGTTTAGGCATGAGTGACGGGTTTGCCAAGGGGACAACGGTGCGTGATCTAACTCCGTGGCCTTAAATCGGACATTCTCTTGCAAGCGGTTTAGTATTTGCCGACGTTGGATACTCTTTCGGGTTCCACAAAATAACGATGCATAGTGTTTCGGCGAAGAAATTTACTGTATGTATAAATAGCACGTGAATACATTTAACCCAGCAATCGGCATCCTGGACAAACGACGAAATTAGTCAAATTCATTAGTTGTGCTTGTCACGTTGGTCTGAAGAAGCATAGTAAATTCAGACAGGATGTTACAATGGTCTTGATTGTTCAATGCAAGTCAGTTGATTTTGTTCTAGAAAAATGAAAGTAGCAAGGCACGTCGAACAAGACAAGCGCTTAGTGGGACAGTGTTTGCCCACTTGCAAAGACGTGAGCTCGTGTCGCGAGACGAGCAAAACAAATGATGGCTAAAAAGGGCACAGAAGGAAGAAGGAAATCATAGCGAAATGTATGAAAAAAGCTGTTAATGAATTTTTTTTATAATTATAATCTTTATCTTGATGAAAGGAGCGGACTGACCAATTTTGATGAATGGAAAATTCATTAGATAAGTGAAACTATCATTTGCCCTTTTTAAGTACAGGCCAAATATCGTAAAATATTGTTTAGGGATTCTCGCTCAGTGTATAGTTCGTCATGGAAATTTAATTTGGGGATCAATGTTATCAAACTCACAAATACGTACGTAAGGAAGAGAAAATTTTACGAGCATTACAAATGGTGGTCGTATATGCTTATCCAAGTGCAATGATTTGTCCTCCAACGAATAGATCACACCATCTCGATCATCATCGACCTTGTTAATTAAATGATATTTATTACGGATACGATCAATCAACAAGTGCCTTTTGTTAGATAACTAGCTATTTTATACTTTCAAGGTATTAACTTTTGTTTCTTGTTAATGGGTCGGTACTTAAAAATTTTAACATCCACTAATTTTGGATGTGAAAATGTAGCGCAGACAATATCCCGAAACTTCGTTAGTCCCTTTTGTCAAGCATGCTTAACCTTAGTACCCCGTGTACTCATCAATTAAACTAATTTATCATTCGATGATGGGATGAATAGATTAATATAAAACGAAACTTATTCACGACCGCTCTAGAAATACTTGTTAAAGCAATAAATAAATAAAAATTAATAACTTTAACGAACTGGTATTTTGAAAATCGAATTATCTGCATACACAGTAACGCGATCTAAGATTAAAATCTGTTATACTGCTATATCTGGTGCATACGAAGAAAGTACAGTACACACCTTTCCGCATCAAATCCCACTTTTGCCCCTCGGATCCTCACGCCCCTGCCGTCTGCAAAAAGCGGACTTTCATTACATTACATTACACTACTGTTGTGAGCAGCCCTTTAGATCTGGACCAACCAAAAAGATTCTTACAGTCATTTCCTCCCTAGCATTCGTTCGTTTTTCTTTTGCCCATCTGCGATCTCAGTGACTCTGAGCTGTTGCTGTACATCGCGCTTCAGCCTCTTAATCAGGAGCGTTTAGCAGTTTGCTCAATCATTGAAAGTGACTCGCACCCACTTCGTTTTTGCCCCCATCTAGGCGCTCTCTGGCTTCCCTGTTTTTCCTAGGGCTCCTTTGAAAAACAGAGCTCTGTTCTTTTGACTTCTTGGGTCTCCGGTTTCTTCTTCTTCTCCTTCTTCTTCCAATTTTTTTTGGCCATTTCACCAAAACCCGAGCCTTATCTTAGCTTCTCCTCCACTTTCTCAACCTGGGTTCTGTGAAAGAACTTTCCTTTCTGAGAAATATTTGTACTTTGTAGTGTGGGCTAGCTTGAATCCTACTTCACCAGTGACTTTTGGCCTTTAGTTTTTGTTTTTTCCTTTTCATTTTTCTGTTTGTGGGTGTGAACGTTGTAGTTTCTTGAAATGGGTCGGCTCTGATTGCTTCTGTTTTGCTCGAGGGACCTTCAGTTCTTGGTAAGGATGAACAGATCTCACAGCTCTTATGTCATCTTTTAGTATTTCTGCTCTGTTTTCAGAAATAAGTAGACTTCAAGATCTCTGTCCTTTCCTGTATTAAATGCACTTGTTTTTATCTCTAATCGCATCGATTTAGACTTTAAACTCGTTTAGCTCCATTGCAGGACTCCCTTTTTAATGTTTCCAAGTCCTGATTTTGTGTTTTTTCATCTCTAAAGAAGTATTCCTTGCGTATACGTATCACACCTCTTTCAAAAGGGGTGACTTGCTCAGTCAGTCTCCTACTTTAACTGACTGAAGAATGCTCATTTCTAGTGAGAAAGAAGAGCATATGTCTTTGCCTTTGGATGATTTGAGAAAGCCCTTGAAATCACCCCCAATGGAATCAAACTCTGATTCCTTAGATGGGTATCCGCCTGCTTCTGAATCGTCCGACTCGCCACCTCTGATCCATGGATACACAGACGTCACCATCATCCCGGAGCATGAGAAGCACGAGCTCGAGCAAACAATCTTGAATCTGGAAGGTATTGTGATGCTATTATTAACCTTTTCGTTTTGATCTTGCACAATTTACTTAAGGGTCGGTCTAAATGAACTGAAGGCTTTGTGTGCTGAACTTGATTGTGTAGGAGAGATTCTGCAATTGCGGCAGAAGCAGAAATTGTTGGATGAGAAGCGGAGAGAGGCATTGAATAACATAATAGATATTAAAGGTGACAAGACTTTCGGTGCTTTATTGCAATTTTCTATTACTACTTTCTCTTGAATAAAAGCTATGCCAATGTCGGTTTGACGAAAAATCTCTTGGAGATGAAGACTAAATAGATAAAAGAAAATGCGATTTTTCAGGAAGCATTCGAGTGTTTTGTCGTGTCCGGCCATTTCTATCAAAAAACAGAAGAAAGAACATAAACCCCATTTCGACCGGTTTGGATAAAATCGTGGTGAAATTGTCTGGCGGGGCCAAGGAATTCGAGTTTGATAAGCTGTTCCAGCAAGAATCAAGCCAAGGTTAGTGTTGTCTGTCATAGGCTTGTTTCTTGTATGGAGTTTTCTTTTATTTCGGTTCTTCTGAAAGAGATCTATCCTGCTTAAAAACTCTGTAGAAGACATTTTTGCGGAGGTAGAACCGATTCTCACATCTGCGCTCGATGGGCACAACGTGTGCGTGTTGGCTTATGGACAAACCGGCACTGGCAAGACGTACACAATGGTCAGTGACCTAAATTTCTTGTTTCAGTAGTCGCAACTATTCTGTAACTCTACTGTTAAAAGAAAATAAAAGTAAACGAGGAACATTGATATTTTCTTCAGGACGGAGTAAATGATAAGCCGGGAATTGTCCCTCGAGCTCTCGAGAAGCTTTTCAGCCATGCCTTTAGGGACAAGTCGTCTTCTCTAACATTTTCCATGAGCATGTTGGAGGTATATATGGGTAATCTAAGAGATCTGCTGGCTCCAAAACCGATCTGCAGGACGTATGAAACTTCAGCTCGGTGGTAATTATATCACAAACTTCTCGAGCAATTTATAATAATTAAATAACCATGAGGAGCACAACAACTGGAAATTGATTCCTGTAATTATGTCCACAACAGCAACCTCAACATTCAGACGGATCCAAAGGGTCTGGTTGAAATCGAGGGCCTCATGGAAGTTCAAATCCCCGACTTGGGGAAGGCAAAGTGGTGGTACAACAAGGGCAGACGGTCTCGATCTACTTCGTGGACTAACGTGAACGAGAATTCTAGCAGATCACACTGGTGGGTTCGACTTCTAACACAAGCTTCCCAAAATTTTGTATGATTACTTTTTTTTGGAAGCTCACATTACCTGTATAGCTTTATGTATCTAGCTTAACAAGAATCTCCATTGTCCGCAAATGGGATTCGGATGCCAAAGCAGAATCGAGCAAGCTGTGGATGGTCGATCTTGGAGGGAGTGAGAGGTTGCTGAAAACAGGAGCCATTGGACAAACACTTGACGAGGGACGGGCCATAAATCTGTCCCTTTCGGCTTTAGGTGATGTTGTTGCAGCTCTCAGGAGGAAGAGAGGTCATGTCCCTTACAGGTAGGTTTGACATGCTGCATATTTTAACTGCTTGTCTCGATAGATTAATCTAAGCATTAAAATCTCTGGTACTGTAGTGAAATGGTTCGGTTCCTTCCTCCTTGTGAATGTGTTTCCAACTTCTTTATTTCGTTCTCTTCGCTTGCAGAAACAGCAAGTTGACGCAAATCCTCAAAGATTCTCTAGGTAAGTGTTTAAGTAGATTCTCCAAACTTAAGAATCTTTCAAATTACCTGTGCTAAATAGAGGAATTACTGTAGGCGATGGTTCGAAGGTCTTGATGCTTGCGCATGTTAGTCCTTGTGAAGAAGATGTTGCAGAGACCGTTTGTTCCTTGAGTTTCGCCAAGAGAGCAAGAGCAGTCGAGTCCATTAGAGAAATGCCCGAGGTACGATCATTTGAATACATCTTGCCCGACATTGGCGAGGATTCCAAATCTTCACAAACATCCGCGCCGGTGAATGCAAGCTAACCATTAGGCGTACTGAAATGAAGCGCTTCTGTGTAGGACTTGAAGAAGCTGAGGGAGAAAAAGTTGGCGGAACTTGAAGAGCATATGAAAGAAGCCGAGGAAGAGTGTCATATCGTCACGGATCAGTTGCTCAAAGCCGAATTTCTTCTAAGTGAGAACAAAAAGCTCTTCTCATCCACATACGATCTTGTTGAAGGTATCGAGAAAACTGCGAGCCCCAAAGATTCGAAGGAAGTGCTTGGAACTCCGCCGACATCTGCCAAAATCATTAAGCCAACAATATGCAATTCTCTGCCTCGGTTCATGACCTCGACGGCGGCGAGCCGCCAGAGGCAAAGCGCTTTGGAAAGAGACATTGTCGGGAGAACAAAAAGCTGGAGATCGGCAACGAGAAGCTCGATCCAGTTTTCGGGTTCTCAGTCCTTTGGCTATTCAGATCTGCACTTGAAAGCAATTTTAGAGAAGTCGAACAAAAAATCGCGGTACGCAGAACCAAAGGCTCTCCTGACCGAGAGTCCTAAATGCATCGGCTCGGATTCAAAACCCTCTTACTTGCCGCGAAGCAAGATGGTAACATCTTCGGATCCGAACGTGAGAGCCACACTCGGCCGTCACAGGAGGAGGATGTCGAATCTGATCTGAAGCAACCAGCATTTCGATTGCTGATCGATTGGGGTGCTTTGTGTAGGCTTCTTGGTGATTTTAGTGTGTACCAATGTGTGTGTTTTACTAGTTCATACATACTTGTGTGGAGTGTGAGGGGGTGTTCATAGGAGTGCGCATTTACGTCGTGATTATACATCAATATAGGTGCCGTTCGCTTAGATAGGGCGGGATCACTCTGTTATTTGTGTACGTGATCCTCGCGGCCTTGCCGTTTTAGATGTGAGACTGGCTAATCAATCATCGACTCTGATCTTCGTAGCCCGTTTAGGCGCTCGATGTGGTGCGGCTTGTACTGTCATAACAATGTCGAAAAATGTGGAAACGTTCATTTGCCTAGTTCAATACCAGATGTGATTTTGATTGCACATGATGTGAGCTGAACTTGGCCACTGGCTTTCTGTGATCTGTCTCGGAATCTCTCCTCCAGTTCGGGTTTGCAAACGAGAAAATATTCGGCGCTTGAGCAGTGGCGACTGGGATTTACATTAGTCCGTTAATTAGTTGCCATGTGTACATGCTGGCCCCACACTTCAATAAAAGAAAATATCCTATTGATGGTTAATGAAATAAATAGTTCTTGAGCTTTCGCTACGTGATTCAGGTAGTCTTTAAACTGTAACTCAATGTGCAACGTAATTCCTTAATTTTCAGTTTTGTTCAATATGATCTCTAGATTTTTTGTATATGTTTAATTTAATTCATGAACCATAAAGGATGTCATGCTAATGATCGAGTAATACCTCCCCTTCAAACTCTGCTGTATTTCGAATCTTGGGATAATACTATAACACATAATCCATGGCTCTGATACCATAATGAGCATTATGCAACACTAAACATTTTCATATAATTCAAGGATTAAATAGAACATGTACGAAAAATCCAAAAATTATATTGAACAAATTAAAAGTTCGGACACCACATTACACATTGGGTTAATACTTCCCCTTCAAACTCTATGGTTGATACCATAAAGATGTTATGCAGTATCGAATATTTTCATATAATTAAGGGATTAAATGTACGTAAAGTCACCCACCCATCAGTGGCCGCGTTGGTTTGCGCTCAGTTTTTTTTACGAGAGGTCCTGGGTTCAAAACTCGCCCATCGGTGATTTAAGTGGGGGGTCGTGGCGGTGGGATTGACACCTCGATTATAAAAAAAAAAAATGTACCTAAAGTCCAAAAATCACGTTAAATAAATTATATGTCGGGCCAAAGTTCAGCAACAATTAGAGCCGTCATTCCATGATTTATTTAGCTGGTATTAAATTGAGATTAGCTAAGCCTACTGTCATCTTCAACCTTGGGCATTTCGGCTTAGTTAGCCGTCGTCTGTCTTCTGACAGAAAAACCTCAAACCTTAATCCTAGAGAGAGAGAGAGAGAGAGAGAGAGAGAGTGACACAGGTAGGACCATGCGTTCTTTGCGAAGCGCAAGAGCGCTCTACGAGAGATCTACGTTCTCTCTCTTCAGTCTCAGCCCCTACAATGGGCATCGCTCGGCTCTTCCGCCGTCGCGCTCCATCTCCTCCACGGCGCTGCTTCAGAATTCATGGATGGACAAGGTCAAAGGAGTCTTCACCGGGAAGAAGAAGACGTCCCCGGAAGAAGCCGAGGTCGCCGGCGAATCGTTCACGCTGCTCCGTAAGTTCCCTCCGCCCATCGCGGGCCTTCTTCGCGCGTTTGAATTCGGTTGTGGCGATTGTGGTGATGGTGGGGAGTGTTTATTTTTTTTTCTTTTGAAGGGTTTGCCGACCAGATGAAGAACGCGAGGAGGCTGGGAACCTTCAAGAAATACATGGTCGGGCGAAGCAGTGAGGCGACATTCGTGGACGCTTTCGAGAAGCAGGAAGCGATTCTCCGATATCTAGGAGGTTTGGACCCTTCTGGAGAGGTTGGTCTTGGTCGCATTTTGTTTCGAGTGCTTGAATCAATGGGTGCTCGAAAGACCTGAAATTTACATGTATGGATACTTATAGGTAACATTGAAAGGATACACTTTTATTTGGTAAGAAGATGATATGAGGGCAAATTATGTTCATGGCAGTAGTTTTAAGAGGGGAAGAAAGATCAGAAATGCGTAAGGGGCTGTGGAGAAATGGAATTCGCAAATGGTTTGATCTGTCTAATTTGAAGTTTCGGGCTTATGTACTTGTCTGTCTATGTAGTTTCTTGTACGGTTTTAGGACGAAAAAATGAGAGTGGTTCCTACAAACTGCTGTCTTTCTTTATGTGTTAGTGTAGATAACCATCTGTACAGTATGGTTTGTGTGTGGAAAAAAATGCTTCGTATTTTGAAAGTGATTGTCTATAGTGTATGACCATTTGAGAGTTTATTTTAATAGGCTAGTGCAATCATTGAATGGCTAACATGGATCCTAAATGCCGAGTTCAAGACCTGCCATGTTTTTTCCATGCTACGTAGGCTTACATGTTTGTCATATGTTACCCTACAGACAGGTGCTTTGATTGCTCTCGCCTATCACGACCCTTTTTTTTTCTGTTAAAGCAACAATAAACACATAGACAAAATATGCATACAATGAGTTGTAAACACTTATTATGTGGATAACTACCTCACCCCTAATATGAACTTAGATGATGATTTTCAGCATCTCCAAACTAATCAAAAACAAGAAGCAGCAAAAAATTGCAACTGTACGATAGCCGATGTAGAGAATACACTTGCAAGATTCACTTGGGCAAAGGAAGCAGAAAAGAAGATGATGCAGATGAAGGAAGAAGGAAAACCGTTGCCAAAGAGCCTTGCCGAGGTAAATGATTTTTTTGTCCCTCAACATCTGTTATTGGTCGCAGAGGCTTTGAGTGCCTTGACATGGATTTGTAATTGAGTGGTAATGGTTTGGATGGATGTTTTAAGACCTTATATGCCTGCTCACTACCTGCCCCTGCTTACTGACAAGTGCTGCTATGCTCACGATTATGGACTGCCTTTTTTGCACTGTAACTTTACAAAACTTGAACTTTTAGGTGAGCCATTGGAGGTCAATCATCACATATATGATGGCAAACAAATAACCAGAATTCTCTTGATCTAGAGGTTGGGTATTTTGGATTGGGTGCTATGGGCTCATTAAGTCTGTAGCTTAACAATTGTGTGTGTTTGAGGTTGGCATTTTTGGATTGGGCGTCTTGGGCTCATTAAGTCTATATCCCCACAATTGCGAGTGTTTTGAGAGGGCTTCTCCTAATAATCGTGGGTATTCTATAGGTTTAGTTTTTGTAAATTAAAAAAAAAAAAAAACTCTGTTGGTAGGCCTTGAGCTGATTCATGGTGGAGAGAGGGGATTAATGAGTCCCATGTCAAGAATATTTGTTTTCTTGTAAGTAAGACAAATATTCATGATTGCGCAATCTTAATAGCTATACCTTTTTTACTGTTTTGTGGGCAACTTAAACAATGATACATCTTTTGAGCCAACTTTGCCTGCTATACGCGTGTATTTAATTGATTTTTAAGGAGAAAAAGGGGAGGGGATACTCTGCTGCAAAATTTTTGTTTTTGGTCGGATCTTTGCCTTGCAGTTTAGTGATTTGATATTGTCATCTCTTCTAACTATTTTGCACTAATCACTAACTTTTTTCAGTTGAATTATACCGACTATTTCCTCTTTTTTCTTTGGCCGTTTATCTTAAGCAGGATTTCTGAGAAATAGCATGACCTGCGGGTTCTGTATTACAGGTTCAAAAACTAATGGGGTCAACACCATTAGATTTGGCTAGGTCTAATCTGGCTAAGAGTGGACAGATCAGCCGGAATGCAATGTGCCCATGTGGTTCTAAGAAGAGATACAAAAGGTAATTTCGAATTTAAAGTAGGATTGCACTCAGTTCACTGTCTTGATTGGTATATTTTCGCATAACTCACTGAAATTTCGATTTCATGAATACACTCTGACTTGCACAGCTAAGTTTGCTCAGAGTTACCACATGTTAGCTTTATTAACTAAAACCTGTTTTCCTCCCTAAATTGGTGCTAATACATGGAAAACTGTCTAAGTTCCCTTTAAGTTGTGTCGTATTACTGAACTTTCACTCGTACATATATTTCAAGTTACCAAGATATTACTGCTCACCTTACTGAAAATTGGTTTGTTTTTTTTTTTTTTGGGTGCATTGGTACTTGGATAAGAAGAATTGGAAGTTTGGTTTAACACTCTGTATCCATCACCATGATGTATTTGAGTGCAGGTGTTGTGGAAAGGATTGAAGAGATTCAAGAACTTAAGAGTATATTTACCCTGTCCTTGACTTGAGGATTCTCAGAGGTTCTTGTTGCCTATCTTGTTGGGATTAACTTATGCAGAAGCTGCACTCCGGGAAAAGGCTTGGTAATTTAGGGGCCTGGGTTCTAAGAAGCTGAGAAGGTGTAACACCACACTAACATGCTGCTTGTATTAAAGAATTAGTCCACATCAATTAGATCATAGCTCTTTTTGAGGCAAGAGTCTGGATGTGCTTAGCTGAGTAACCATTTTGAGGCGGAGGCGATTTGCTTTGCTAGTTTTATTCATGACCACAATGGAATGTTCTTTCAGAGTCCTGAATAATTGACATAGCTGTATTTCAGTTTTTGGACCGAACTTGTTTCACATGATGTTCTATTTCAGAATTATCGCTGTATTTGTTGACATCAAATATGCATATCATGCTAAATTCTCTCAAAGCAGACTTTGATCAACCGTGTGTAGTCTCAACGTTCTTCCAAAAAGAAGCCTTTTACTTTTTCCTCATAAGAACTTAGGTGTGCATATATATAGAGGGATTTATATTAATCTTTCCTGCAATCAAGAATGATCAATGTGCGTGAGGTCGTTTGTGGTTGAAATAGGGGTTACTCTTAAGGAGAGATCTGATTTTCTACTAATAGTCAGTTATAAAGTTCTAACAAAGGGGTTAGACTGAGACTTAACATAATAGGTTTTCAGATATCAGCAGCTACATAGAGCGACAACAAAATTGGCACAACAAAGTTGGATTTCACACTAATTTTCCGAGACCATTAGATCTATTTTAGTTTCATTTCCTGATAACAAACATATAACATTGGTGTCTTGTTGTAATTCATATCATTTTATGTCATTGATAGAGTGAGATAAATTACCTTATAGTACGTTATCCGGTGAAAATATGCAGTGGCGAGTATCATATTATCACAAAATTTCACATCGAATTCAGCATATTCAAGGTGAGATTCGTTGTGCCCATTAGAACAGTTGGGAATCCATGGATCTTGTGCTCTGTAGGATCATAGATATAGTGATTAGTATGGTCATCATCTTCACCGGAGATAGGTGAGGTTTATGTTGTAATATGATTGACAGAGTAGCTAATCCTTCTTAAGAAGGGGGGAGAAGGAATAGCCAGCTGGAGCCTCACCCTTTTACAGGCCGAAGAGAAAATCTTGCTTGACCCGTGTATTATGTTCTCATTTTTCCGCTGTATAAGACTAATAAGATACTCATCCATCGTCAACAATTATGTGCAGAGCATATTTGTCGATAACAATGACCAGTCCTAGTTGCCCTAAGCTTATATCAGCTCATGTGCAGGTTGACTAGTTAAGACCAGAGGTAATTGGTTCCCGCCATGAACTGGCAGCCGAACCAGCGGTCCCCAGTTCTAGAAAAGCAGAACCAGGACCAGAACCAATCGGTTCCGATTCTTCCCGGGAACTGGCCATGTTTTCTTTTTTGGTAGAAATTGAAGTATTTATTGCTTAATATAGAAGTTACTATCGCCCGGTATCTGCTTTCCATAGAAAAAGATCAGGAATATTGATGCTGCATCCACTTCTGCTCCTGCTACTTGGTTTAATGTTATCCACCTCTACTCAATCTCTTCATTGCAATTGGTCGATGCATTTGGGCACACCGAAGTCAAATTCATGGAGAGCTATATATCGGAAGCTCGCTTTATGAATTCCAAAATTTTTTCCGAATTACGCGAAAACTCCATTGTTTAAGACGATTAAGGCACCTACATTATCAAAACCTTCTCCAGGACATATTTATGTATAGTATGAGGCAATCCTAGTTACCCTAAGCACGTACCAAGTCCTAAGCAGGTTGACTCAAACCCTATTCTGTAACAGTGGTTAGAGCCAAATCTTAGTTAAGATCCGTCCATGCAACCAGAAAAGTCATATGGTAGAAAGACTTAGCCACTGATCACAACTAGATGAAATCTTTGCACAACCCGATTTTCTGTGAAAGGCGACATATTTGGTAAAGGAAACAACGGGAGGAGTATCCAGTACTTAAAGAGCAAATTGTCGGTCATTAACATGATGGATACGACAACACAGAAACGGCAGATATGCAGTTAGGAAAGTTTACATCTTTCAAAGCATAATTGAAGAGCCTCGACAAGCTCCTAAAACACAAACAGTACTTCTTCTATCATCAAGCCAACATCTTCCTATATAATCTGAGCTGCCAGATCAATCATTCATCTGCTTCTTCACGACTCCCTCGAAAATCGCATCTCTGCGAAAGGTCAAGTTCGACTGCACGGGATTGATTGGGCCAGGCAGCTGAAAGGAGAGAGAGAAGGGCCTGGGCTGATAAGGATTTTCCGTCTTCCTCACAAACACTTCCCCCAGCCTGAGGATCATCTTCTCACCAGTCGCAATCATTCCCGAGATCACAACCTCGCCATCCATGTCAAGTTCACAACTGAATGCTGCGGCAATCAAAAGCAAGTTTTCGAGAATCCATTAGTACTTCAACATAAATACCATGTTGGATCAATTTTCGTAGGACAAAAGAACTAGTACAATAAAGAAAAAAGATATCTTGCTGCGATCCTGTATCTTGTGCACATTAATTGCCATCACTAGAGCAGAAACCTAACAAATGGCAATGTTCCTAAATTTGCAAATCCTTTCTTTTAGGCAATAGTCATCGACATCCAAGCAAAAACTTGCAGATCAAATGGTCTAATGGCTCATATCAAAGCAAGAACCAGCAGATCAAAATGAGCTCACTTCCATGAAACAAGAGATATACCACTAAGCTGCTACAAAATGGAAGTTTCACACTACATTTTTTTCGCATTGCAGAACACAGGACAATAAACTTAGCTATACCTTCCCGAATCCATTAAATGCCAAGTTAAATCTGGCAAAGTACGCAACTGTTAAATAGAGCATATGGTGACTTTGGCCGTATGAACTTACATTGATCTCTTCTCACACCAGGAAGAGACACCTGGAACAGGTATGAGTCCTCAGACTCCGCAATGTCCACAGTCCCGATAATCGGTCCTATTCGTTGCATAGCGGCACTCGAGGATGCTCTATCTTCAGTATCGGGGGCTCTAGCTGCAACAGGACATGGCTTCTCTGTTGCTCCTAGGCCAAGAAACCCCATTGTTTGAATCAGAGTTGAGACTTGAAGGTCAATTTCTCCAGATGAAAAAGTCTGTGTTGAAATATGCACAAAATGGTGAGCCTCCTTAAATGGTATGACTCAGAGCGGCGTTACGGCCAGAGTCACATGATTTCTGCATTTCCCTTCACGAGAACCGCGAAAAGCAAACCCGAAATTTTCGCTTTAAATGAGGTTCTCATGCACTGCTACCACTCCAGGCCATGTGATTTTTGGGGTTTCTTTCATGAGAACTACGAGGAGCCGTGCAAGGAGCAAAGTTGTCCCCCGGAGGACGATTCTCGTGTTACCACTCCAAACCTAGTGATTTCTGCGTTTTCTTTCACGAGAACTGTGAGGAGGCATGGAAGGACTAAAGTTTTCCCTCAGAATGCAGTTCTCGTGCGACCACTTCTTATATAACGCATCACGAGTGACAAAGTTACCATCCGGGAAGCATTTTTCTCCAAAACAAAACTATAGGTGGTGTTGCTTAGCAGGGGAAAGGCTATGATTTCCTGAATGGGTAGCCAAGTATCTCTTGTATTTATTACTTTTCTCAGTTTCGTGAATTTCAGGCTGCTCTTCCGATTCATGTTCCATCATAACTTAGGGTTCTATTGATATCACCTACGCCTCTCCTGTTGCCGCCTTCTGCTGCTGATTGTCATTGACAATGGTTGAAGCAGAGAAAGCTGCCGAGCCCACCTAGATTGAGGCTGTGACTTGCCTAAAAGTTATTGAACTCTGAAACTCCTGACTGCAGTGATTGGATGCCTTCCAAATTCGATGAGTCCTGACACTGACCTGGAAGCCTCAGGCTTGTGCTTGTTGGTAAGGAAAGTTGCTCCTAAGTAAGGTTTCATTCTCCCTGGACTGAATGCTTATATCCTATTGTTTGGTAACTCTGTTGTATAGAAATTGATCTTTGGGAGAGAGGATGTCTATGCCATCCGTTTGTTGTTCTGATACAAGGACCTCTTCTTATTGCAGAGATCGATCCAGTCTCCAATGACAAGAAGTTCTGGTTCAAGGAGAGAAGCTTTAGTCTTCAGTGTGCCAAGTCAGGTTGTGAATCGCATGAAGTCAGCTGTCACCTGCCGCGGTCATGGGCCGAGATGTCAATGCTTCCTCAAGATCCCTATCGTTGAAACCTACTTCGCCACTTCCTTAAAGCAATTGGCTCCAAACTCAGGAAATGTAGAGTTTAATTGAGGAATTGTCCTGATATTTTCCTGATCAGCTACTCGATCCCAGATGATGGTGGTGCGAATGGAGCAAGTGCGCCAACACATACTCAGGAAGGTCGGTCCATCAGATGTACTGAACCATCTTGTTGGTTAAGTTCTTAAGCATCCCTCTCTCCAGCCAACACGCTCGATCCTTGTAGCAACCTCCCTCAGTTCATCGACTTCTTTCCTGCTGACCTGCACCCTTCTTCATTTGTCAAAGGGAGATTTATGGCAATTGATAACATCGTGTTCATTGATAACCCGAATATCTCTTACCTCAGGCCAGAGGTTATTGTGGGCTTAAGAGTTTGACTGGGTCGGAGGAATCTGTTTTGGACAAAGACGCCGCCAGGCTACCCATTTATGTCACCACGACTGGTTATATCAAAAGGAATCACATGAAGCATATTCTGAGGGACGATTTCACCCTTTTGTGCCTCCTCGTGGCTCTCGAGGAACAAATCTCAATAGTAATGTGGCTATGGACGTCGTACCTCTTCGAATGTCACCAAAAGAAGGCTCGCTGTGGTGGGCACCCGTAGAACATGATGTTGATTTTGAGGCTTAAGCTCAACACGGTCCCAAAATGGCGCATCGTCGTTGTAGTACTTATAGTGGAGATGGTGCAGGTGAGGAGTGAGGCCGTGATGTCAACTTCAAGGCTCAACGACTCACAGAACTTACAGAGTCCCAAGACTCTTACCTGTTCCAGGTCTCCTCCCAGGATAAGAAGAAACCAGAGTAAGTTCCCACCGGCAGAAGTCATATTTTCTCTATATGGCAGTAGCGTCCTACTTTTCCCATTTTAACTTAGTCTTAATAGAAAGAAGCTAATTAGTAAGTTCCCTCCTTGTTTGCAGATAAATCAGATCCTGCAAGCATATTGCAGGTGCTCCAGATGGAAGCCATTCAAAAGAAATCCATAAATAGTCCTCCATGGTACATTCTATACCTCGCTTGCAAAGATTTCCCACTAGCCCCAACCGGAACAAATTTATCTAATCAAATCACTACCAACTGAAATGATTAGGGCAATCTGAGTTTTTTTTAAGTATGATCACAGGGCCGATATCCTGCCTGTTGCACTAGCTGATCAGGATCAGATGAGTTTATTTGCATAGAAATGGATTCTATCACACTAAGTTACTTCTACATATAGATACTGACTTAAGAACAAAGTATGATATTAAGCCTTGTCATCGGGAACTTTGATCTTCTCGAACTCCACAAAGTCCAACGGCCACGCTCCGAGCTGCTCCATCTCCAGTATCTGCAGGCAAAAGCAGCACCGCGCCCATTCCTTTTCGTGTCAAGCCTTGAAGTCGGTATCACGTTCTTCAGATGTAGAACCCACCCTAGTTGTTGATTCACCCGAGAAGGCGAGCCTTCATGTGGCACCATCTTGAAGGGGGCATCACGCCTAGACCACATTACTTTTGCGCTTTCTTTCACGAGAACCACAGGAAGGAGGCACAGAAGGATGAAATCGGCTCTCAGAATATGTTATCAAGTGATCCCTTTTGATACAACCAGTCATTGGTGACATAAATTGGTTTTCCGGTGGCATCTTTGTCCCAAACGAATTCCTCCAACCCAGTCAAACTCTTTAACCTCACATCAACCTCTGGCCAGAGGCGAGAGACGCTCGGGTTATCGATGTACACAGATCTTGTCAATCGCCATAAATCTCCCTTTGCCGAATGAAGAAGAGTGCTAAGTCAGCTGGGAAGACGTCGATGAACTGCAGGTGGTTGCTACTAAGATCGTGCGTGTTGGCTGGACGACGGTTCCTGAAGAACTGAACTACCAGAGATGCGATCCGTTCAGCATATTGACCGGCCTTTCTGAGTATGTGATGGTACACGTGCACCATTTGCGCTGCCATCATCCAGGATCCGGCTAGCTGGTTGGGAGTGTATCGGGGGCGATTCCTCTAACTACCCTCTGCTTGAACTATGATCTTTCTGAGGCTCGATCACTTTAAACGAAAGTTAATTGATCACGACTCTGTATGATGTACACAGCACTCTCGGTGCACTAGTAATCTGAAAGATTGAGTACAATGCAAGATGCAAAGTGCATGATATTAAATGAATTAACGCCTTGAAAGGGACGATCATTTCTCTTCTAAAGCATATGGACATGCAACTGCATAACAACAATGTCGAAGCATACGCAAGAGATGATGATTAATCTGTTGTCTTGGCGAATAAGCTACTTCTCCTTTGAAACAGCCTTCTTGATACGTCGCAAAGGTAGAGAAGTAAAGTGGGAAATTTGCAGTAAAAGATCCGTAGTAGACGGTGCGCAGGAACAAAACATCGGATTCGACAGAACATAAATCTTCCAATGAGTGTACCCGAACGAGAAAACGAATTCGTGCCAATTCCAAACCGACTAAAATCCAACAATTATTGGGCTTTCCTCGACTCATTCTAACCAGGGGTGAGTATATCGGACTGGCCGGATCAGGCACGCTTGGGCGGTTCTAGGAGCTCCGGTCCCAGGTTCCTAATTTTCGAACCGGTGACCGGTCGATCCGGTTCTTAGTTCCAAAGTGGGAACTGGACCGGATCGAACCGACTATGTATATTTTATTTTATTTTAAATCTGAAGAAAAGAAATCCTAATCTAATTCCTTTCCTAATTCCCTTTCCCCACTTCCAGTTTCCTTCCCTCTCGAGTCTCGCCTTTCCCTCTCGCCTAACCCCTCGCTTGCTTGACGACACCTTTCCCTCTCGTGGCGACGCGGCCTTGCCTCGACACCTCATGCCTCACTTGACATCGACGTCTTTCCCGTTCTCGGCCTCGCCTCACGCCTTGCTCAACGTGGAAGGCGTTCGGCTCTCGGCTCTCACTCGACTCGGCCCTTTACAGATTTTCTGTAATCAGTAAGTTTGTAGTGGAACAAAATTGGAAGGTCTTGATGTGAGAAAAAGAGTAGCTACCGCAAATTCCTCTTACATGTTAAATTGACGCTTTTTGCTAACATGACCGTAGTGATTTATTAAACTAAATATTGAGAAAGCATTTCTCTCGGTCTGGTTTCCGATTCCTGGATGGGACTGGACTGGAACGGGAACCGATCTCCTTTAATTCTAATCTATATTTTAGATTTAGACAACCCATTTATCATCAAATCCCTTAAATATATGGATAAATGATCTATTTTGTCACATCTAGTTTTAACTAACTTTTTCATTGGCAATCACATTCAGGGACTACATTAAATATATTCATATGATTCAGAGATTACGTTGAATATATATAAAAAAATATAAGGATTACATTAAATAATTTAAAAATTCAGGAACCACATTGAATATTAAATTAGAATTCATGAATTATATTGAACAAATTAAAAATTCAAAAATCACATTGCATATGAGGTCAGAGTTTAGGAACCGTTTATATCATTATCCTTCTAGCAAAACAGCTAATTTTTTTTTCAAGAAATGGCCGAAATCTAAACCCAAAAATAAAGAAAAATAAAGAAGAATATTATCCAAATTGCAACCTGGAGCATGCTGCTGCACAGCCACACTGAACAAATGAGAAGCCATCTTCTCCATCCACTTTCCCCCGCCGCCGCCGCCGCCGGCACCCCCGGCAACGCCGCTCTCTTCCTCGCTTCTTCTTCTTCTTCGCCGTCGCGCTCCGACTCCACCAACCTCCTCCGCTTCTCGCGGCGCCGCTCTGCCAGGCCCCCTCCTCCGCCCGATGCTCTCCCCCGATGGGACTCCAATGCCGAGCCCGTCCCCGGCGGTGGCTCCGCGTTCGGCCTCGACAGCGAGGTCGACGACGTTTACGACGACGGCGGCGGCGGGCGGTTCGGGTTCGACGGCGCGAGGAAGCAGAGGGTTTGGTGGTCCGGGCTCGACGGTGAAGGCGAGGACTTGGAGTTCGAGGGGGACGAGGAGTTTTGGGGCTTCAAGGTAATTGCGTCGTGGCCATTGCCGCATGGTGATTGCAACGAGTGGCTCATTGGTTGATCGCGTTGATGAGTGCTGGATTGCATTCCCTTTCGCTCTTGTGGTCTTCTTGTTGATTTGATGAGCTTTTTGGAAAGAACTGATTTTGAGATTGTGGGAGAGATGGTTTTTGCTTTCGTGTTCATTCGTGCTCTTCGATGAAACATCGTCGGACGCGAGGCTGTGTTCGTCTTCTTACTAGGTGGAGTTTTGACTGAAACTTCTTAGGGTAAGAAGAAGTTGTGTTGTTATGTATTCAAAGAAGATAATGTGGAGGAGGAATCAAAAGCTCTGGACCTTCGGCTTCCTTCTCAGCAGAGTAGGGTTGGCGAATCAAGTACGACGATCACTCGCGAATCGCCTGTGGATCGTCACTTTCTTGTTTTCTTTGTTGCAATCTCTGTGTCTCTCAATTGAACTGGATGAAAACTTTAGAGTTGTTTTTTTTTTTTTTGGTTTTTCGTGAATTTTTGTAATGAAATAACTCGACGTGAAGCAGTCCTTTCAGAGTATAACTAGGCCTCTGCTTGTTCAATGGCGACCTAGGGAATGTCAGCTCAGGATCATAGTGATGGTTAATGTTAGTTACAGTTGGGTCTATGAGTCCTTGATGAAGGATCCAAGCAAACTTTGAATGATTCTCACAATGCACTGCTTTGAGCTGGAATATAGCACTTGTTCTGTTTTTCCAAATCTTCATATGTGCGTTTCATCGGTTCTCATGTGTACTTTGTCAAATTCTTTGGGTAGTTTGCGGTTGGAACTAAATTGTCACTGAATGCAGGTTTTGCGAGCTTTTGGGTGGATGTTTCCGGCCATTGCCATATCATTGCTCCTAGGCACCGGTCCAAATGCGTTCATAATGGCCTTAGCAGTTCCATTGGGACAGACATTGCTTTCCCTGGCATCCGAGAAAGCTTGGGGAGGGACGAGCGAAAGAGATAGCTGGAAACCTCGTACCCGGGCTAAAACCAAGAAAAAACCATTTGTGAATCCCAGAAGTGAAGGCCGAAAAAGCGGAGGGAAACAAGAAAATGGTTCCGCCAGTGGGAGGAATGCTTATCAGTCTTGGGTGACAACAGATGGTTCATATAGCAAGGCAGGCAGCGGAAGTAGGCCGAGATTCGGTGGATGGGATGAACTCGACGGGAAAGCGGGGACACGGGAGGTTCCTAAAAGTGAAAGGAGTCGAAAGACATATGCGCCGTCGAAGCAGTCGAGAAAAGGAAAGTTTAGCAGGATAGGAAGGGTAAGGGAAACGCCGTTGCTGGTGCGGCTTCTTATTGCTGCATTCCCATTTTTGGGCTTCTGGACAAAGTTACTCTTTTAATTGGGTGAAAATTCAAAGCTGCAGATACCCTACTAATTACATTCTTGCTTGCTTATGGCTGGAGAGAATGGCCTATCTGTTCAATTCAAAGCACTCAGGTCATTGGTCGAAACAAAAGCTTTTTGTTCATGTACATGTACTAGATAATGTCATTGATAAAGATTTCGATGGAACGACAGATCTAAAGGGAATTGTGGGATTTGTCTTTCGAGTAATAACCAATTCAGGATACAAAAGGAGGCCCTGATTTGTATGGAGCTCAAGACACAGGCATGTGGAAGAGTTTTGGAGGATTTCATGGAAGGACTCTGGCTTTTCCTGGTTAAAGAGTGCAGAAAGTAGAGATTAGAGACGAGAAATACTGCACTATATATGCAGCACTGTAGAGGTTGGTAAAGAGTTACAATAATGTTTCTTCTTCAGAACTCCTAGACTGCTTAAAAACGAAATCGTGCAGAGAAGATGATCAAGGAAATGAATAACTCCAATAGCCGCACGTGCGATGCAATGGAAATGCCTATTGTCAACCTTAAATTATGTCTTGGCAAGTTCCTGGAGTGTCCATATTTGTAAGCTTTAGGAACGAATCAAAGCTACAGTACTTGATAGATGAAGAATGTGCAAACTGGCATTTTCATCTGTACTAGTTGGAAGGTCGTTCTGTTTGCCTACATCCATCATCGTTGCTACCCTGCGAGGTATTGAACTAATAAGAAACCAGTTAAACAGACGAACACGCAATGAATTTCCTTATAATCTCGATAGAGTTCGAAGGAATTCATTATAATCTCAGTCGAGCTGAGCTTGAGAAGAGATTTGTCATCTAAGATTAGGCAGAGAAAAGCCATTGTCTAATGACCGAGATATACGTTGGAGTGCACTTAGAGATGATATTCGTATACCATTGCTCGGGACAGGTACAAAAGACTACGACAAAAAAAGAATGCATGCTAACTGTTGGACAAACGGAAGTAAGGCTGAAGACCCACATGAATACTGATATTCTCGATTGAGCTGAGCCACGTCAATTCGTTGACGTTCATCATTTCTCTCCTGTTTAGGGTTAAAATAGTGAATCATTATGATTATAATTCTCAATGGACTAAACTGATGGTTCTTAAATCTCCTCAATACTCCACGAATAAAAAGCAGATATGCAAGCAGCACTCATCTGATGGCGGAAGGAGAGAAAATCGGGCAAACCACTTTATACAAACTCATGCCGAGCAAATTATTCCTCAGTTACATCCAAACCTCGACCAGAAACTTATATTGCAAGAGACATGTACTTCATAGTAACAGATTCCCCTTTGTCTTGAAAGAGGTATATACACTTGTACACCACATCCCCATCCTCAGTCCCCCCACTCCAAAGGAAAACTGTGGATGCAGAACTGTACAAAACGCCCCCCCGCAGTCACTCTGCAGGAGCGGAAAGATTACTGTACAGCGTGAACCCTTTCTCCTAAAATGCTTCCCTTCTTTCTTCCTCTAGTATACATTTATCATGAATTGATTAATGCCATCATACCAATGAAGTGATGCCATGAACTTCTTATTCCCTCTGGGACGATGTTTCAAGGTGTTGAATTTACTTGAATCTCCAGGGGAAGAGAAGAGTTTGGCTGGTCCCGCGCCAGATGTCCATTTGGTTGGTCCAAGTGAGAAGGATTCACAAGCCGCTGCAACGACTTGAGAGCTACAGTGAGCTCTGCAAAAGAGGGCCGCAAGTTTGGCTCCCTGTAAGATGACATGAGCAAAAATGATGAGAGAATAGTTCAACAGAATAACCTTTGCGTGCTCATGTTATCTGTGCTCGAATTTTTCTTACGTCTGCCAACATTCCCAAATGATCTTTCCAACCAATGGATCAACTTCTTTGGGGATCTCGAGGCGGCGATTTTGAAAACCTACAGCACCTACAACCTGCATTGGGTTCATCCCAGTCCAAGGCAATCTCAATGTGGCAAGCTCCCAAAGAATGACCCCAAAACTATAGACGTCGCATCTGCACAACCCACGAGTCATTGAATAAATATTTGCTGCTCCCACAGCTTAAGTTTATGACTATGAAGCACCATGGTTAACTATACCATCTTTAGCACCAATGACAATATCAGCACATACAGAGAGCAAATAAAATCTATAACATAGTTCTCTCACAAAATTGTTTTTCCCTGACGGTCACACCCAAGCAGAGTCTCTGATCAAATAAAGTCCCATCTTCCCAAATTTCTATATCCTAGTCTTTGAGTATCAACACACAATCAACACATACACATTCACTCGACAAGAAGCTTTGGTTAAGGTATGACATGACATTTCATTGTTTTTTCTGGGGGGGGGGGGGGGGGCAAGTCCATTCAGATCCCAAAATCGACAAAAAGTAGGCCCGGAAGAATGCTTTCCAGCGTAAGACTAAGTCATTTAGAAATAGAAGGCCAAATATTGTCATTACAAAATATAATCAGAGCATGCTCATGTCAAAACTGAAGTCATTTAGGCTTGACTGTTGCAAAATCCAAGCGACAGGAGCTTAAGAAGCCTAGTCCAGAGAAAATAATTGAAGCTAGCTTAGAAATGCACAACTCACTTTTCATTTGATGGTTCATTGCGGAGAACTTCTGGTGCCATCCACTCAGGCTGAGACACAATCAAGAACTTCACATTAGGAACAGCTCAAAATCTTGAGAAACATCAGGAATAGTTTCTTTCCAATCCTAGTATAAAAAAAAAAATCTGGAAAAAAAAGTCTAGGACTCTTAGATTGTTTGGTTAGCTATGGCAAACTGTTTTTTACTTTCTCAAGTTGAAACGCAACATACTTGCTTGTCCGACCGTTCAAGATTTGTACTAGAGAAGTTTACTTCCGAAATCACCAAAAGTGATGTTTGAGGTTGTGTTTTCTCTTTGTTTCCTCTATAGTTGCTAATTGTCCAATTAACTACAATGAAACCTATTAGTAGAAACTATCCAAATGTCTTTTCCTATTTCAAAAATTGTTGGATAACTCTCTCTCCATCCTTGCAAACTCTTCAAGAATGATTTTCAAGAAAGCTTGCATATTTACCGTTCCAGCAGTTGACTTGGATGACAAGAAGGTATTGTGCTTCAAGCGTGACAACCCAAAATCACCGACCTGGAAAATGGTAAAATTTAGTGTGGATGCAAGCAACATTTTACTGCAACACTTTGATCATCAATTACATCAAGGTCACAGAGCACATTTCTGATGGAAATTGCATGACATCAGCAAGTTGAGTTATCAAGAATCATCCACATCAGCGTTCTGATGTAAGTACATGTATGGCAGTGAAGAGTGAGAATGAAAAGTCAGTCCACAAGCAATAAAACTTGTCCCAGAATCAGCAAATATTAGTCGGTTAACAATTATATCTGAGGTGCTCCCAAAGTAAGGGAACAGAATATTCAAGAGGAATAGAAAAAGGCCAAGCAAGACATTAGTAGCAACTAGGAGATAGAGAAATGATATGCAGGCAAGAGAATAGCTTGATTCGTTATTTAAAGAAGTGAAAGAATGAAAATAAAAGTGTCATGCAACATCGGGAAGTTTTACATACTTTGACATTCCAGTTTTTGTCAACAAGAAGATTTGGTGATTTCAAATCTCGATGAACTATTGTTGGGACACTTGTGTGCAAGCAATTCATTCCCCTTGCCTGTAAAATTTGCATGAGCACTTATATCGATTTCAGAAAAAGAAATCTCTATATCTCCAACACCAAAGAGAAGGGAGACAAATTATTTCATACCACATCAAGGGCCATTTTTATCCTACGTTTCTCATCAATTTGACTGTGAGGACGATGTATAATTCTGTACAAGCTTCCCCTGGAGAAGTAAACAAAAGTAAAAATCAGACAGCAAAATGAGATTGTCACACGCCATCAACATAATAACACCCTTTTAACAGCAGATAAATGAGCTGCATCCCCCTAAAAACAATTGATGTCGTTCCCGTACTACAAGCTATTTTAAGGTACAAAAAAGTGTACCTTGGAAGAAACTCGGTAATGATTGACAGATGTGGAGGACGGGTCACAGCACCCATGAAAAGAACGACATTTGGATGACGCAATCTACGCATTATCCGCACCTTGGAACAGAAGAACAAGATGCATGGTCAGTTTTCTTCCTGGATATATTGGAAAAGCATTTCTTGACTCAATGCTCTGATTAGTCCTCATTTCTTTCCTTGCTAAATAAGCAAATTAAACAAACAAATTAATTGATGAACACAACCATTTAGATAGATGTGGACAGATCATGGAACCCATGAAGAGAATGACATTCTGAAGACACTGTCTATGCACTATCTGTAACCTTGGCACAGAAGCAAAACAACAAGGTGCATAGGAATTTATCTTACAGTAGCTGGATATACTGGAAAAGCATTTCTTGTTTGTCTTCAGTTTTATTCTTACTAAAATTGCAAACAATTACTAAACACACTAATTCATTAACTGTCCAAAAATACATATAGATACACATAAGTGTGATCCAATCTCTCTCTCCGTTGCTTTCGACTATCTTTCAACTATCAGACTCGTGTGCCATTCAGATCTTATGTAAAGAACATTAATTGAATGTCTCATCGTTATTCACAGCACCAAGAAAAGCAAATTGACAAAGCAACAGAAAAAGCAAATTGGCCCTTTTCTCCTGCAATATTTCTGACAATGCAGACTGCATGGCATGATAAGGTAGCATTATTGTAAATTCGTCATGTATATTAAGCAACTATGCTATTCTTTCCTTTACAATGTTCTTCCAAATTTTATTCTCTACAAGTTTTGAGTTCTTAATAAAGCTGGAAGATTTTGGTCCAAAAAGAAAAGGACCCGGAAGATGAAAAGCACAAATGAAAGACCTATCTACAGCTTACTTCTCGTCTGAACTCATCCAAAGCAGCACCTGAGAAATCCTGATCCAAAAATTTCTTCACAGCCACCTCCTGCAGAACGAGCAAGTCGAGCCAGATGTTAAGATGTGAAAATGCATTGTAACTTGTGTTTCACGGCATGTCATAGAATTTAAATTAT